CAACCGCGAAGATCTCGCACCCTCGGGCAGTAGAGCCTCACCTAACTAACTCTCACAATTTACGCTCATAGAACTAGGTCCCTATACTGTGGGCGCTGCATCCACAGGTGGATCCCCGCTGACGACTCTTATTGGCGCAATAACCGAGGCTCACTCCGATATTCCATCTTACAATATCCTAATCACCATACCAAAGGCCTGAATTACATCTCAGAATTTACGAAGAGCTTTCTAGGCTTTGGGTCGCGAGACCAGAATCGAGTTCAACTCCGTGTTCGTCGTTCCGCTTCCAACCAAAACTAGTGGCTTTCCACGTATAAAAGAAGTTGTGGATAGTTGATCAAGTATCCATATCGAACTCGCACTTACTCAGAATGCACTTCTCTACTACTATTGCTGCTATCATCCTTGCAGTCACTTCTCTTGTCGCTGCAGGTGCGACGATTCGAGTTTCCTTTGCATTAGGATCAGATAATGACTCATTCTATTCAGGTGGACCAGAAATCTGCACAAAGAGGACCGACGGCTGGTGGTACGGATTATCAAGTTACCAAAGACTGCTGTGCTGCCGTCAAACATAAAGCGTACTTTAACGAAGTTGTGAAGGAGTGCTGGCCTAATGCTGGTCCCTGGGGAAATAGCGTTAATACCGGCGAAATGGTGAAGTGTTGTGCTAGCCGTGGATGTGGAAGCAGTGCTGTCTAGACGGTGAGGAGAAGTTCTTTACGGATCACAATCGGCTAACTTGCGTTTAGTTACCAGGCTATTGTATACACTTAATTTTGGGGGGTAACATGGTGATATGGGCCCGAAAAATCGCTAGAAACCAGTAGTTGTGTTACATTCAAATATAGTAGGTGATCTGAAATGGAAGGCCAAAGCGGGTGTTTTCAAGGTCGGAGTTAATGTTATCGGCGATGCTATGAGTGATCATCATGTCGTGAATAAATCGCAACCGACAGAACGCACTATTGGCGTCTGTCAAGTACCCGTGTTCGTCCGAGTCCTGTATGATTTCATCGGTGAATCATTTCAAACGCATCATTATTTGACTCGGAGGACGAAGTACAGACGGAAAGCCCATCGACGGGCAGACACGTTCGAAGACAAGAAGTAAACATGCTACGGGGACACCCTACAAAAGGCGACTATAACTTGAACTGGACAAAGAGCTCCACTTGACGGTGAATCCAAATGATTTTCGATAGGATTCTGTGCACTCGTCTGGGAATGATGGGTATCATTGTATAGAATTATCAATTACTAGAATTCATGCCTCATAAGAAAGTCACAGTGAAGTTCCTCTCCAGAACAACGATCGATTACCGAATCCGCAGGCTTTGTTAGTTTAGCGCCCGAGAGGATCGTCACCGTTATCAGAGCTGTTACTAGGTACGAGTCATGATAAGCTAGAGCCCCGTCAATATTGAACGCCTAGTCAATAGCCGGGTTAAGGGGTTGGGATAACTACAAACTAAGAGATGCCTCGATTCATACCGTAGGAGACCAATCTTAAGGAATATGAGAACTTCCTTCCTCCTGTACATCAACCCGTTATGGTGGCTAACATTATCGCCTCTCATGACGCACAGTGATGGCATCGCGATAGCCCAGGGTTCGATTCCCTGTAACGAATAACATAGCCATAGAGATTTTGGTGTCTTCGCTTAACTAATCAAGTTGATTTCTGACGTTGACCGTCATCTCGTTTTCCATCCTAGCTGGTTAGTACTCTGTTCACGTCTGCAAAGCTCTTGAGCATGATTCTTTTGGTGTAACTTCAGGCTGACTCGATACCATGGACCATGAGATGACCCTAATTGAAGACGAGGAACGCCCTGCTGGTGCGAAAACTTTTTTAACTGCTTCCCTCGGTTTTTTAATCTCCTCGCTTTCGTAAAGATGGCCTCCCTCTCTCGGACTATGATATAGAACTACCACCTTCAGCGTTCTTCCCTTGCCTCCCTGCCGTTACTCGATTCCGTCACGCCCTTTTCTGGCCTTCAAACGACTTCATCGACTACCTCAGCCAGCCTCCGCGTTCCGTGTCCTTCCGATGTTTGGTTTGGTGGAACTTGCGATATGATCCTCGATGATGGTGATAGGTAAGTTCAGTTGTCTTCTGCTTTTCCAAACGTAACCTGATTTCTCCTGTAGCGTATCCATTCCTCTCACGCATCTCCAAAAGACGTTATCCTTCTGCCAATAAAGCTCTGCGACCTCAGAAGATACTTTAGCCCTTCACCATCTTCCTTTCTCACCTTTCCATTGTTACCTCCCTAACGCGTCACCAATATCCTGCGAGGGGTTCTGATCAGGCAGGATAGTTTGATCCCCGTATCCCCTGATCTTGGGATTGTATGGTCTATGGTTTGAGGAATGGCTGGAGTCGGAGACCGATATAAGTTAATGGATCGAAGAGGTAAGGCCGTCCTATCTTCGCTTTTCCTTTATTCATCTGACCTCTCCTTTCTGTAGGCGAAATACGCCTTGCGCATCTCGTTTGCCCCCACGACTATCCTTTCACTCATTCACAAGGACACCCACGCACCCACAGTTGACTAGACCTGTAACCGATCCCTAGTGACGATGACAAGCATGTACTAGGGACCTGTACATCTGGGTTTAAATTGGCGGGAGACATTTTAGGGATTTGCCGAAACTCGAAAAGGATTTGAGAATCCTTTTTGGGAAGGCTCGTAATACATATGACATGACAGCTTGTAATAGTGATGACACATGCGGAAACAAAATAAATTCTCTGCCGTCGACCGCCTCATCGAGCGATATACTTCTACGCGGCTACGACGATATGGACGACTCGGACCTTGCAATACTTAGGGTACAGGTGCAAAGCATCATGAAGATGTCTGTTACGCAACTCGAAGCTGTCATCAAAGACAAGAAGATTGAGCTTTCCTCCGACTATCCTCACCGATATATCTCCACCCTACAAGACGACAACCTTGTGTTGGCGCTCAAAGCAATCATCATTGGGTATCTCATCACGGACGGTCGCGAAATTCCTCGGGAACTACAGGTCGATGCTGTTAGAATGGCGACGGTATTCCAGAGCTGGAAGCTATATCCACATGAATATATCTCTGGGACGACAAGAAGATAAAACAATGAATAGATCGTACCACCGAAAGCATTGTACGCGCTACTAGATGTTGGCATGCTCTCGAAGGTGCTGGAGTACTCTGACGGAGATAGCAATGGATGTTCTGGTGTTTGTGGGACGACTGTATACATGGATGAGGGATTCCTGACTTTATCTCGCGTGTAACGTCGTTTCGACTCATGTACCCTGTTATCAACGGAATCCGGTGGCGAATCCATCTTTGTATCGTTTGCATATGAAGAAATTTGCCATGAGAAGTCTGGGTTTGTTTTCTTTCGAATGTACTGTCGCTTCTGTGGTGGATTGGATGTGGACAATCGTGAATTCAGTTCATTGGTAGTTTCGGTTCCAGTGACATTAGAGTGTGCTTCATTGCGGGGTACAGAAGACATGGATGTAGACGAAGAGTGTAGGTACAGCAAGTAAGTACTGTAGACAGTGTGTTTAGAGCCCTGCGTTGAGATAGTATTGGACGTACGCACCTTGTAACTTTACTCCAACTTGAACACAGTGACTACAGCATTCCTATCCATTCCGAGTCCAATTTCCGTTCCTCCGCTGGACTGCCTTGTTGAAGTATGGCCACATATTCTGGTACAGCTTGCGATACCGATGAATGAGAGAGCGAACGAAAGCGGAAGATATTTCCGCGTGTGTCATCATAATTACACGCTGTCATGTCATATGTATTACGAGCCTTCCCAAAAAGGATTCTCAAATCCTTTTCGAGTTTCGGCAAATCCCTAAAATGTCTCCCGCCAATTTAAACCCAGATGTACAGGCCCCTACGTACTGAGTTTACGCGTCACGTAGGGGCATGTCACAGGCCTAACAGTTGACGGATGGGAGAGAAAACGATGGGGTACGATCGCACCTTGTCCTCCTTCCTCGTCGATCTAACACCAACTTCTCCTGTACCTAGTCCTTCTCCATCCTTCCACAATCCCTTTCCCCACCCAATCTACTATCGATTCGGCAGGAGAAGTAGCCAACACCCCCTCAACATTACACATTACACGCGCCGCTCGCGTCCGGGTCCACATGTCTCAGAAACCTTCCCAACCAACCTGCACTTTGAACGGTAGTCCATGGATGGAAATGAAATTGATGGGTTACAGTAGACGAGGGGTTATTTACTGTATGGTAAGCCCACACCTTCTACTTATCCTGCTCCTTCGTTGAACTGACACCAGCTCCGCCGTTCCTTAGTACATTTTCCCCCTAGAATGCCCAATCGCCAATCCCTTTTCCTCATCGACGCCTTACAGGCCGAAGAGTCAAAATGTACCCCGTTATGCAGATCGATGACAACGGTAGCATAGCTTATCGTTTCGTTCTAGGGTTCGACTGACGGAGAAGAGCGAAAGTCTTGTACCTACCGTCAGTCGGGTCTACTCACCGAATCGAGGCAATCTCGCATATGGGCGTACAAGTGTTACCAGGGTTCGAACCTATGTCTCTGGAAGAGACAACACGGGGACATTGTTATTCATACGCCGCGTCATCACCGCTACACTATGTGGACAGGTATGAGGTTGAGGTATATTGGATACGTGAGACAGATCTATCACGTTTCGTTTGTTCAATCCAACGCTGATCATTCTTTCTCAGAGGTCCACCAGCTACCCTTTTGTTCTATCACAAGGATGGAAGAATCGATGGGATTGGGTGTTGAAATGTACGCACATCCACTCGCGAACGGTGTTTATGCAATCATCAGGGAAGGTGTCCCGATCGCGCATCGAAGGAATGGATTTGGGGGGCGAAGGAGATCTTACCTATGTATGTATTCGTGTATGTACCTCTATTCCCAGTAACCTAATGATATCTTTTCGCGTCGAGCGTAACAAAAGCGAAACATGCAGTCACAACATAGAGGTGCTACCAGGGTTCGAACCTGGGTTTCGGGAAAGGTTGTAACCGCAGTCATCTATCAAAATCCCGAGTGATGACCACTACACTATAGCACCTGTGTACCATAGTTTGTCCCGATGATATCGTAGGTCGTGGTAAAAGTTCAAGTTTTGAACGAGCTTCTCTTCTGCGTAACGATCAGAGTTACTGCTTTGTTTCCTCAGAGTGTACAAGCGAGGACGTTAGGCACACAATTCCTAGACATGAGCCAGTTGTTGATAATGGTGCGTGCTCCTATCGACATCGTTCTTGCTTGACAAGCCCGTTTTATCGCAGCACAAACTCTCATTCGCCTCAATCTGGGATTAGATGGGCTGGATCCGATTAAGCCTATAATACCGGACCGAGAAGGGCCGTAGGTGCTTGTTCTGGCCGTTTTCGGATGAGTATGTCGCAGGTGGCTCCCTTCACAAAAGGCAATACATCGAAACTGATTAGAATGTATCGCAGAACAATAAGGGCACTACTACCGACATATGTGACTTATGCTCGTACTCTTTGATTTGAGAGAGAGAAATGTGAGTAGAGATGGACCTTCGGATATCGGAAGGGCGTCTGTGGTTAAATAGTGAGTACTCTATGCAATAGTCCAGCCGCGTAATTCTGACAGATTGTGCGATACCGCATGATGGTCTGTAGATTGCTTGGACCTACGACGTCATTCTGGCCTGGCTTATCTGAACAATAACAGCGGACACGAGACCAGGTTGCCATAGCTAACGTTCCCATGTCCAAGTTCTCCTCTATGACTGAAATTAGCAGTTCTGCTATCATCAGTTGAGTATATCATGGTCTCCCTCCGATATCTATCCGTGTTCACCTACCTGCTCTTGATGGAAGATGGGTAGTGATCAATCTGGCGCTCAGTAACTGCTTTGACCGACCTATTATGGTGTCATTCACGTCCTTGCATTGTCTCTGCGGCCACGGATGGCCAAAAACGTGACATCCACTTTTCTTTATGCTCAAGAATGCCACAGAATATCGTATGGTATATAAATTCCCGACTTTAGACGTCGGAGAACACTCACTCACTCTTACTCTCGTAACTCTCAGCTTTTCATTGCATTCATAACTTCTCGCCTTCACCAAATTCAGCATCATGAACGCCAACAACAATAACCGAAACAACACCTACTTCCGCCCTGATGGGTACGTCACGGTTTCCGAGTTCGTTCAAATGGTTCGTTACTCATCGTCGTCCCGTTGCAGGTACACTAACACTGGGCGTGGTCCTGTTCCTGACGAGCACCTCCGTGCTGCTCAGCTTACGAGGCAGGCCCAATTTCGTCCTGATGGGTATGTCTTTCTCTTCATTTTATACCTTCTACCGCGCTGAACTTGGTTAAAGCTACCCCGACCCGCTCACCGTTCAAGGTCCAAAGTCTCCCGAGTTGCTCATGGCAATGAACCAATGGAATGATGCCGTGGATGAGCATCGTCAAAGGGAGAGACAGGTAGTGCGGGGAAGGGGAGCAGGGTATCCTCATCCTCAGCAGCAACAACCACTAACCAGTCACACCAACGCGGCTTACCCAACTCCAATCGTCAATCACGACCCTGGTCGTGGTTCTGCTTATCCTTATCCTTATCCTCCGCAGCAGCACTCCTCAATGCCTCACCCTCATTCTCATCCTCACGTTCAGCACCACGCCTCCACTTCCCATCCTTATCCGACTGTCAAGCAAGAACCTGGAACTTCATATCCTTACCCACGCCCTCAGCAGCAGCTGCGTACTAATCCAAGCGCTCCATACCCCCAGCCGCAGCACACTGCTGTCAAACAGGAGCCAGGTGTTCAACGTACACCCAGTAACCGTACTCGTAGGGTTAAGGATGAAGAAGATGAGGGTACTGCGAAGAGGTGAGCATAGGTTTAGCTTCTCTATGCTGATCTGATGGTCTGATCGATATGATAGGGCTTTGGCTGGTTCGTCTTCTCGTCGTTCTACGCGTAGGAAGTAGGTTGGGGGTGGAAATCCAGAGAAAGGCAATGGTTATTTGGCGATTGGTTATCGGCTCACGGAAAACTGTTTACAACTATCAGTTGTTTATGATTTGAAGTATGTTTATGTATTAGAATATGCTTTATGCTTTATGCTCTATGCTCTATGCTCTATCTATGCTCAATTCCCTGCGTATATATGTTTACCAAGGGTGAAAGGGGATCCCAGCCAGTAGAGACGGCATCTCGTGTGTCAAGCGCTTTCCTTTCACTGATGCTTTCATCATGGTGAAAAACTCCCAGCATCTGCAATAGCGAACTGCTCTAATATCTGACTCCGAGTCATCGTGCTTATACCTATACTTCAAAGTCAAAAGTTGATATCGATCACTAGGTGAACGCTAAAGGTAAGAGGAGATGGCGTGTGAACCAAGATAGACCCATCAATGGTAGGTTAGGGTTTCGGTTTTGCTGGCATGACGCATCTCATTGTCTTTTGATCTCGAACTACATCCCCAGTATACGGACATCCATTTCAGCATCGTGTTACTTCAAGGTTTTAACTATATGAGCACACACTTAATGAGTTGCGAGCCTTAGGCTGTGTCCATGATAGGTCCTGACGAGACTGCTAGGGCTCGGTTCAGGCTCGGCGGCAGTTCATGCATGTACCTTGGATAAGGAGTCCAGGGGAAGTGAACGGTATTGAACTCTCGTAAGTGGTGCTTTTATTACTCTTCCACGTCATCATCATTCATCATTTCTTTAGTACACGGTTCAAAACTTCGATCGAGAACGCGAACATATCCCCTCGTGTGGTCCACGCGTGGCTTTCTGATAAGTAACACCCACTTATCTCCATCGCTTCGGAAACGAAATGAAAGATTTGACATGAAAATTGGTCACAAGGTAAGCCTCGACATGCTCAACAGGTGAAGTCAACATAACCTTTGACCATGACCCCTTCGGCTAGAATGCGAAGAACGTCGAGGAAGAATGGAGCCTATGGAGTAGTTGTTGCCGAATCGTCTCCGAGCAGAGTTGCTGTCGACAGAAGAGACGGATAGAAGGTACATACTTGCTTTCTTAGGCAGAATAACGTTAAGCATACAGACTTGAAAAGCTGACGACTTGGGGTTTTTATCTCTACTACCCACAGGTTTCATTGACAATGACCAAGTATGTCTTCCAGTCGTGCATTCCCATCCGTCTGCGTCCTAACCAATGCTCACTAGTGCCAAGGCTACGGATGAAGGTACTATGCATTCCCACCCACAGGTCGTTCCGAAACTCACGTCTTCGCAGACACACCCTTCGACACATGCGCGAAACTCACCCCCGAGCTGTTTCTCGCTCAAATACAACTTAACAAATTCGCCGGGCAGTATCTCACTTCCATCTCTGGCGATCAAACGTTCGATAAAGATGGCTTTCTGAGTGCCGTCCGCAAATATCCCTTCAGCGACCTCACAATTCTTCCCGTTCCAGAGAACCCGAGTCAACCCCCAAGCGGTAACAACCCAGTTTCCCAAATGTGTAACAATATCGTCTACTTCATGCGTGACGAAATCGGTATTCCTATTGATGCCGATGCGATGTACGCTACAGTCAGCAACGCATTCACCAACCTCAAATGGGCGACCGAACAGGGTTTCGCGAGCTTCTCGTCCTCGAGCTCAGGGAGTAACTCGGCTTTTGAATATCGTGTCATGTTCTCAGCTCCGGTGGATGAGGAGACGTTCATTAGTTTTGTGTGTACAATTTTGTTGGAGGCAGATATTAGGACAGAGGAGGAGTGGTGGGGGCTGGTGAGCAGTACGAGGAAGCATTTTAGGTGTGCGATTTGGGGGATAAAGCTGCAGGTGAAGAAAGGCTTTGAATATGATCCGGATGGTCCGGTGGTCGGAGGTTAGTCGTAAAGTAACATAGAAGCTGTGACTTGCGAATTCATATCCCCAAGGGCTGAGCTATGTCCACGCAGTGACTCGGAGAAAGCCAAGGCAGTTTGTCCTGCATAGATACAGAGCGAATCAAAAAAACAAAAACAGCCCACATTTCTTCCCATGCATGTACCATAGAATCGCACGGTACCCGTTGGTCGTTATAAAATTCACGTAACGCATGTGAAGCAGGTCAGAGTTACAGGTAATTCATTTTCATCGCAGAGAACAGAGTTGTCACAATTCATGACCAAATCTTCCTCCGCCTCCTCTATCTCTTCTGTAGCTAGCGTTGCTTTCCAAGTATTGTCCCGTTATATTCCACTGCAAGTTTGGGTTCTCGATTGTTCTATTTTTTGAATCTGTGTCGGAACAGCAAATTCAAGATATGCTACTTAAACAAGCGGACCACAACCGCAGAGTGGATACTGCTACCCCCTACTCCATTGCAGCCGCGTCATACCCAATGGTACCAATATACTGTATCCAAGACTGGTATAGACATTGAAGTCGAGATCAATTTCAACGGCACTCCACGTGCCCAATTGAAAATCGAACTCGGATAACATTGATAACATTGATAAACCTGCTGTGGACCGATGAGGAAGATAGAGTTAGTCCACTGTGGGACTATGCAGATGACAAGGTCGGAACGGCTACCCGTGTAGACGTAGAGTAGAGAAATGACGAATCAAGTCGTCGTCGAGGAATGAGGATGAAAATGAAAAGGGTCCGGGAACGTGTAAGACACGAGGCGGTACCAAATGCGTCCGTGCGGTGATGTTACACCGATAAGACCGCGGATTGGAAATAAAGAATGAAAAATGAAATATACTTCGTATCTTGATTCTTGAGGGGCTCGGATACTCTTGATGCTTTTGCAAACTCGACTCGAAGGCTCTGAGATGAGGGGAAAAGAAAAGAAGGGAAGATGTCACATTTCTCTGACAGCTTGTCAGGTAAGCGTCACGGTGGTCCGTGCGCGAATACAAACAGCCGTACAACAAACTTGATAACGATAAGATAAATAAAGTGTCCATTTTTAAAGTGAGTCCACGTCTTCACTTCTCCTCAGTCTGCCGGCGTCCACTAGACTGATACATGCAGGCACTGCTGAAGGGTTGACCAGACCCTCTCGTATCGGTGACCCCGAACCGTTACGAGGCGTGCA